GTGCCCAGCCAGCAGCGCAGGCAGGGGGCGGTGCCCTGGGCCAGCAGGGCCAGCACCAGCACGGCCAGCATCGCCCCGGCAACCACCACAACCTCACTTCCTGTTTTGGTCTCCTCCTTCTGGAGAAGCAGATTCTGCCTCTGACATCACTTCCTGTTCTGCCTCTGACACCACTTCCTGTTCTGCCTCCAGCCCCTGCCCTATAAGCCTGTGCCGCTGCTTGATGTCACTTCCTGTTCTGTCGCTGACCTTGCTTCTGCCTCTGACATCACTTCCTGCTCTTGCTCCAACGTTTCCATGAGTTGCCGCTTCTGCTTTTGACATCACTTCCTCTCGTGAGGCTGACGTCGCATCCCAGTTTGCCTCACATCCCCTGTGAAAAAGGGGGGATTGTCGGTAATATTTTTGCCACGTCCGTGTGTGCCTCAGTTTCCCCTGCACACATTGCATGGCTGCACTCTCCGCTTCACATTCAACAAGCCTTCACTGCTACTGTGCTGATTTTCAATAGGCAGTGTGTTCACGACACGTGTAAATGACGTTTTCAACTCAGCAGACTTCGCTTGGGAACCACACCCCGAAACGAACCCGACGCCCCAGTCGATGGAGAGAATTTGAACCCTCTCTCCAGCCACAGTTGGGATCCAGGAGGGCACTCTACCCATGGGGACAGGGCAGCTCCTGGCACAGGCGGCTCAAATCCCAGGATGGCGATCAGGGACAAGCTTTAGCAATCCTGCCTCAGTTTACCTCTGGGCCCCCTCTTCCGTCCCAATCTCACTTCCTGTTCTGCCTGTGATGTCACTTCCTGTTTTGTCTTTACTTCTTCCTTTGCCTGCCTTCTGCCTCTCACATCACGTCCCGTTCTACCCTCACTCTGCCCACTACATGCCTGTTCTGCTTTTGACATCATCTCCTGTTCTGGCGCCACTCCCTGTTCTGACCCTACCTTCTCCCTGTGACATCACTTCCTGTTCTACAGCCATTCCTCTCATTAGACCCCAGTTCTGTTTGTGACATCATTTCCTGTGCCTCCAACTCCTTTGAACCCCCCTCTTCTGCCTCTGACATCATTTCCTGCCAGCCCAGGGAACTTTCCGCCCCCCCAGCTCTGTGATGTCACCGGGGCACTGAGCTCACAGCGGGGCCGGGACTCCGTGGGCATGTCCGGCTCCCTCCTGCTCTTCTTCTTGTTGCTGCGCCCCGGGGGGGCGGGGGGCTGCCTGCACTGCGACCGGCCCTTCCTGCGGAGGCTGGGGGTGCTGCTGGGGGAGGTGCTGCCCTCCGAGGTGCCCAACCGGGACACCCTCATTCAGCGCCACGTCCAGGCCTTCGAGCGCCTCTACAGCACCCACTTGCACAAGAAACACCACCGGGTGCTGGGTGTGTGGCTCCTCCCCTGGGGTCTCCTCGGCTGTGGGTCAGGAGGAAGGGGCACCGGCAGAGCTGGGGGGGAAGGGCTGGGCTGGCAGGAGCTGTGGGTCGGGAGCGAGGGGCATTGACAGGGTGGGGGGAGCCCAGGGCAGGGCTGGCAGGGGCTGCGGATGGGGAGGGAGGGGCCCCAGCTTTGGGGGGCAGAGTGAGAGCCCCCTTTGAGCCCCCTGCTTCCCTGCTTAGACGTCCGTGGCGTGCTGGCGGCGAAAGCTGCGCTGACCAGCTGGCTGAGGGCTCTCAAGGAAACGCCCTGGAAAGGTAAATGTGGGTTGGGGGGCAGGCTGGGAGTGACCCTGGCTGGAGGGCAGGGCTGGAGGTCCTGGGGGGCAGAGCTCCTGGGCAGAAGCAGGCCACGGCCAGACAGTGGGGAAGACAAGGCCGGATGGGAGGGCAGGAGCAGGCCTGGGGGGCGGCGGGGGGGGG